GTTTTCCATGTTACGATGAACTTGCTTGATACGAGATCAGCTTGTTTAGACAATATGTGCAAAGCGGTCTCGAGTTTTCTTGGTCATAGAATAGAAATAGCTTTCATATTTAGCCAAATAGAAGTTTGTTATTAGTTCCATTCGTTTCTTCCTCGTTCTTTGGCTTATCTGTTGTTGATAGGCTTCTAGAAACAATCCTAATGGCTGTGTTTTTTAGGTTGAGTGCAGGCGTTCGCTTTTATGGCTTCAGTGCCGAGAAGGCTGGTTACCATGCAGGTATCACATCCAATCTGGTCTGGTTTATCATTTCACTGGAATGCTTCAACAGCGGTGTCCCTGATAATGAAGAATGTAAGTCCTTTGTACTCAGCCATGTTATTAGAATTTTGCTAAGCAGCAGGCAATACTTGTTATCTACATTGAAATGGCAGCTGCTTGTTTGTTCATGTTGGAAGCTTTGCTTCAGCTGCTGCATCCATTTGTTTGAGCGGTGATAGCTAGATGATTGTATTTTATTGCATTTTCCTTGTATTTTTCTGTCAGTGTTCGTTGTGTTTCAGGTTTGTGTCGCTGCACAAGTGTTCCATGGGCAGGCTCCCTGTTTATAACTATATAGTTGCAGTTCAAGTGAGTGTCTTTGGCTTTCTTTTGCATTTTTGACCTAAGTGATATTTAGGTTTATCCACGTGCTCGCGAACTTCGCTCCGTAAGATTGAATCAGTTTATTTCCAAATTTCTTTTGTTGTTTTCTTTGTCACCGTTTACTATTTAGTTGCTTTACCTTTTAATTTACTTTTTGTTGCTGTTTTGTTGTCGTAACGTGTTGCTGGCTACAGTTTTTCAAAACATTTATTTTGCAAACGGTGAACTAGGCTTTCTTATCCATAGCCCGACATGAAGATTGATAACTGAAAAGAGTCTGGTAAGGCGTGCAGGAGAATTTCTCAAAGTCAACCTGTCAATCAAAGCTCATCCGAAAAGTCCGAATCAGAGGCAAGCGAGGGGATACTTGAAGATTCGATAGAGCCCATCATGCCCTCCGGCGAATCGCTATCTGATCCGAAGAGCTTACTATGTCTTCCGGCGAATTGCCTTCTGCAAGTTGGGCCCAAGCATTCTCCTCTAGCGTGCGAACATGTCGGAACCATGACTGCGTCAAGGTGGGCGGCACTCTCTCCATCCATTCCACTGCTCTGTTCCTGACCTAAAGGAAAGTATTAGTGATTTTTACTAACAGGTAGAACTACTGCGCTTCTACCGCTTCAATCCTATCCACGGTTTTACCGAATTTGTTGAGATGCGATTTCAGTTGGCACCAACACAATTCATCGGATTAAATATGCAGTGGAACGGAGGGAGTCTGATCACGTTCACGCCAAACTCGCTGCAAATATGCTCACAAGCATACTTTCGCAAACAGTCCAAGCCATTCGCATCCACAAAGTTTTTCAGCTAAACAAAGTGCATTAGAATTGCCAGTCAGCGCGTCTTCCAGAATTTACGTCTACCAGTAGATCGGCTTTAGTTCTCTTATCCGGCAG